TTTCTATATCATTTAACTTTAGTATTCTAACCCTAAATTTTTATTTTCACAAACTTAATTTATTTTTATGTTGAATTATCAGGATTTGAGACATTTTTTATACTAATAGATATTGTAGATAGATTATTATTTTCTTTTTCTTGTGACACTGCTAATGCCGAAAAAGTCTGTAGAGTTTGGTCCGAATGATTAAATATTATCCAGGCAACTCGACCTAATCATTATAAATGGTTTGAAAGAGTTAATATACACAATTATGTGGGTTGGTACGTACGTGCGTTTCCACGAAATTTAATAAAAATTTCCTCTAAACCATATTTTATTGTTTTTTTTTTATACAGTATTTAATCAATAATACTACTAATCTTGAAATTACTGATTTTTGGGGAAACTTTATGTTTAGAAATGGAAGCGATTATACATACCACTCCAATATACTCCAGGTACAGCGATCAATACGTTTACACCTGCATACCCAAACAATCTTACCCAAAGAGGATTTGTAATATCACTAGACAATAAATTATGTGATTAATATTATATGGATATATGAATATTGAAGGGTGCACATTAATGGATAAAAATTTACCAGGATAAAGTACGAACATTAATAGAATTAAATTCGTAAGAAACCAAAGCAAGAACTGAAGTCATTATAATAGCGTAGGAAATAATTAAAGAATAGACCGATTTAACAGAGGTTGAGGATTCTTTAATATTTAAAACTATTAATCGATATGATTGCCAAGTGAAGCAAAGTGCGGCCATACTTGTCATATATGTCGTAAATTGAAGCTATTTAAAGAAATGAAATTAAACTAGACTAGTTTAACATATTTAATAAATTAAAGAGGTTTTTTTTTTATTTGCATACCGCCAATCCTTGAGCTATGCAAAATTGCCTTGGTGCTTTAGTCAAATCATTATTCCAAATAGTACTAAGTAGTACGTTAAAACTCATTAGCGCAATTGATATAGAAAATATTTTCATTATCTTACGATTAAATGCTATTGTCATATATATAGCACATATCAATGAGATGGACCATAGAAGGTATACAATAACGTTAAGAGGTTCGTCATCAAATCTTGACATTGTTTCTAAGCCTGCTGTTACGAAAGTGTGTTTATACATATATGAAAAAAGATGATTCATATATAAAAATTTTCTTCAATGATAACGGGTACAAGCAACTAATCTTCGCACTCAGAACAATGAAAATAACAACCTAAAGCTACTCTTTTTTGTTATTTGTCAAAATTATCATTCTTTAAGATTCGACTATTGTTGCATAGGTACGTGTGTTGGATATAACACATATGAAATTTTTTTCTCAAAGAAATATTTAATTGTTTGGTTGCTTTGGGTCATATAAAGGTAACAAAAAGGGCCCTTATTACGTTAAA